TGTTTGAAGTAGTATTCTTCTCTCAGAAGTTTCGCTGTTTCTACTAGTATTCTGGATGATGTGATGGGTATTGTAATGTTGAATTCTTTGATCGTTTTGGTTTTCTATATATAAAATTTATATAAATATTGATATAAGTTATGTATTTTTATTTTTTTTTACCTTAAAATTTTGGTAAAACTATTGTCTACTTTGATTGTGGTTTAGTATATGTTGAAGTTTTTGGTTCAGGGTGATAAAGTTCATTATTACACAAACTAGCAACTTCAGCAGAAAAAAAAGTATGCAGAAGTTCCAAAGTGTAGCAATAGGCATGCTATGATATATCCTGCTAATATGCTATAAGTTAGCTATTGCCAAGAATTTTACTTAGATATCCTTGTAATAGTTTCAACATATAATTTTTTTCCCCTTTATTTTTAGCAACTAAGCTTTTATTTTTTTCTTGATTTTGGTTAGGTTTAATGTTTGCCAAGCATATTCCTGATAAATTGTATGCAGCAGCTACAATATCAGATTCTTCTGTTATATCATATCCTATACAAATATACCATTTGATAGCATGGCTTATCTAGAAAAAATAATATCAAAATTATATATTTTATTATATTTAGAGAATACCTATTTCCACCATGAATATTTGCTATTTCTATTATGCTGCTATACTTTTCATATAACTTTCAGTTATATAAACATAACAAGTATATTATCATGATAAATTATGTCAAATTATGGAAATGTTATGTGTTATTTCTTAATATATATCAATTATTATTTGACGAATGTTATTTTTCAATTTGAAAATAATATATGTTTAGGAAAATTATGCTTATATAGGGTGGAAATAGCCAATTTTCATGGTAGAAATAGGTGTACCCTATATTTATTATGTTTCATTTTTATAACTTACTGTAGCATGATGTGAGTCGATTATTGTCTTTGCCTCGCCAGATTCTAAAAATAGCTATTCATGAATTTTGATATTATACCAATCAAACCAATAAGCCACCATTACTATTAACTTGCTATTATAGTAATATAGTCCATTATCTGAAATTACTCTTATCCATTTTGGTTTCTTTTCTATATTGTTAAACATAGTTTCGAAACAAGATACTGTAAACCAAGCATCTTGTTTCATATCTGTAGACCAATGATCATAAGCACTAATATTTAAACCTACACTATTATTTTCTTTAGTTATTACTAAAATTATATGTAATGTCTATCTTCTTTTGCCAAAAAACTCTTGTTTTGTTTTTCTTACTAATTTTGAAAGAATTCATATCTTATAATCTGCAATCATAATAGTATCATCTAAATCAAGGTTTGCTAATAATGCTTTGTATTGTATGTTCAAATAATGTTTTCTAGTATAATATGCAAGAAAATATTTTAGTTTTTCTTGCATTTCTAATAATTGAAAACTATCGCTAATATATTTTTTTATGAAATCAAAAAAGTTAGAAAATTCTAAACAATCTTAACAATGCAAATTATATATATCTGAGCATTCTCCAAAAGCAAATAGCAAACAATGATCAATGCAGTTGTTATATAATACTTTTCCATCAAATTCAACTTTCAAATGACGCTTAAAATTTCTTCTAAGGTGTCGATATAAATTTTTAATCCATGATATGATAGGATTCTATTTATATAATATCAATAACAATTATTTATTTTTTTTTTAGAATTTGATCAGAATTAGATAAGTCTTCATGAGTTAAACTTTCTTTTGTTTTTTATTTATTTATTATTTTTTATTTTTATTGATTGTTATATTTTATTCTTATTTATTTTACTTTGTTTATTTTATTTCTTATTTCGTAATTCTATTTTTTATTTTATTTTATAGGTGTTAGTTTATAGTGACCCATCACCATGATGACCCCGTGATCAGCCAATCAAAATCGATCACGTGTATCATGTAATAGGCCGAAATTGTACAACTTAAAAATTTTTTAATAAAAAAAAAAAAAATTTTTTATTAAAAAGAAAAAAAAATTTATTTTTATTTAAAAAAAAATTTACAAAACCCACCCATCTATCCACTAGATTTATATGTTTAATCAAAAAAGCCCACCCATCCGCCTGCTTTGTTAAATATAATGCTAACACGATGACGAAATTTCTAATGATGCTATTAGAAAAGATTCCAGCAAAAAATCCAACAACTTCAATGATAATTCTAGCAATGATTCAGAGCAACTTCAGCGATAACTCAAGCAACGATGAAAGAAAGAAAAGAACATTAGCTCAAAAGACAAAAAAAAAAAAGACAAAAAAAAAAAAAATAAAAGGAATGAAAAAATGAAAAAGAGAAAGAAGAATGAATAAAGAACGAATAAATAAGAATAAAGAAAAACAAAAAAAAAAAGAAACAAAAGAAAATAAGTGAAACAAAAAAAAAAGGTAAGGACAAAAAAAAAAAAAGAAAATTGGATAAAAAGGGAAAAACAAAAAAAAAAAAAAAACCGAAAAAAGAAAGGGAAAAAGATAGAGAAGACCAAAAAAGAAAGAGAAAACCAAGAGAAAAAGGAAAAACCAAAAGAGAAAGG